TCGTCCTGACGTCACTGGTCTGGGTGTGCATCATCTACCAGACCAGGAAGAAGAGTGAAGAGTACAGTGTCACCAACACAGGTCAGGCGCTGCCAGCGGAGCTGACTTTCAAGGAGGGAGGAATGGCAGTGATGCTGGGGAACTGGGCCGGGTTCCAGTGGCTTTTGAAAGAATCGCAGTGTCTTCGTAACTCCTGAGGCTTTAGTCCCACTGATTCCATTTTAACTTTGAGTAACTTAACCTTAAACAGGAATACTCTCATATATAAGTAACTGACGCACCCTGCAGTTTTCCCTCTCCTTGGTAACTCAGAGGCCATCTATGCACAGGCCCTGCTGCCATGTAGTAGGTTGTTCCTGAAACAATCTCCCAGTGCGGTGCTTCTGTGAATCCTGGCTCCCTTCCCATCACTGGTCTCTACCTCTTGTGGCATCTGGCATCTGCCGGCTGCGCTCTTCACACTGGGTGTAGAGTAAGGCTGAGCAGGTTCTGGGAGGGCCTATTGCATACATGGACTCCATGCCATCTCTGTGCACAGCCCTGATGGTTGTCACTGGGAGGATCCCCTTTCTGAGCCTGACAGTGAACGTGTGTCTGCATTTCTTGTGACTGAGACCCTGATGTTTTATTTGTCCTGTCTTCTTGCAGATGAAACCATCGTGCCACCAGATGTTCCAAGCTACCTCTCTTCTCAGGGGACCCTTTCTGACCGACAAGAAACCGTGGTCAGGACCGAGGGTGGCCCTCAGGCCAATGGACACATTGAGAGCAACGGTAAGGCCTCAGTAACCGTGAAGCAGAGCTCTGCTGTGACTATGTTTCTGGTGCTGGAGGTGGCCTCCAGCTCTTTGCAGGGCAGGTACCTGGCATCAGACGGGGCACACTTGGTGAACTAGAAGGCTGTGACTTCTAGTTTGTGACTAAGGGCTGCTATTTTGGACCAGTCTTTATGAGTTCTGCAAGGTTTTAAAGTCCTGTCCCCCCGCCCAAGGAAGCCACTGGATTGGGCTTAGTACCTCCCTGGCAGGATAAAGTAGGCTTGCCTGGAGTAGCAGCTGGAAAGGGCATTACGGGGCATGAACCCAACCAGCCCATTCCTTACATGGGGAATGTGCCCAGGTCTGCTCTGTGAGCCAGTCTTACACTGGAAAGCTGTCACCAGGATAAGGTACTTCCAATGGTGGGGGCCTCTGAGCTCTTGCCCGAGACCGTAGAGGCTCACCTTGTAGAGAAATGAGCTGCCCATTTCACAAGGCCGGCGTACCTGCCTGGAAGCAGTGATAGAAAACACGCTGCTTGCCAGACCAACAGCCCCGCCGCTCTGAAGAACTTCTTAGAAAATGACTATTCTAGTGGCCTTGCTCATTCCTTTCATAAGACTTACTGTGAAATACCAAGCCCAGAGTTTCTAATCGTGTTGGAATTCACTGCAGGTGTCTGTCCAAGAGATGCAAGCCACTTTCCAGAGGCCGACGCTCACAGCGTTGCCTGCAGGCAGCCAAAGCTCTGTACTGGGTATCACAAAGAGCCGTGGAAAGCGACGGAGAAAGCGGAAGGGACACCTGGGCCGCAGAAGATGGGTATGAGATGCTTCCCATCGGAAGTAGTTTCTTTCTGAAGTGGAAATTGGGGCTGACCTAGTCAGTACATCAAAGGGGGAGACACATTATTAGTCCACAGCTGTCTCCAAATTTGGTATTCAGTATAGAAATGGGAAGCTTGGGCCTGGCTCTCTTAATTCCAGAATAGTTCTCCTAAATAAATCTATGGCATGGTAAGCCTAAGCGTGAATTTTCTAGATTTATAAGCAACTTAAATAAGGGGCAAGGCACAAATAAAATGTAGAGTTTCAGTCAGCACCTTTTCACCAGGGCTATTTTGAGGCTTAATTTCTAACTGTTGAAAAGACCCAACACTGCATAGTACCTAACGCTAATGGCCCTTTGCCCCCTGAAGTAGTAAGACTATATTCTCTGAGTATGAAATTCACTGGAAACATGAAAGACCCCACAGTTCATGAGTGGCTTGGTGTTTGCCCAGTCCTTTTTCTGGGGACATAGTTGGGGGAAAGAGGAAGCATGCATACAGTGTTTGCAGTCAGGGTTCTGACCTTGCACAGTGGAGCTGAGCAGCTTGTTCTCTGTGTGGGCATGAAGACTCCCACAGCAGTGGCTCTAACCCATCTTTGGCACTGTCCTTCAGAACATGGTGGCCGGGTTGTATGCAGTGACTGCAACACTGAAGTGGACTGTTACTCCAGGGAACAAGACTTCCACCCCCAGCCTGTGTCCAGAGACAGCGTGCAGCCAAATGGTCCGGAGCCGGGTGGGAGTGACCAAGAGCATTTTCCACATCACCAGTGCAGCGGGACTGCTGGTGGGTCCTGCCCCGAGTGCCAGGGGTCGCTCTACCCCAGTAACCATGATAGAATGCTGACGGCTGTGAAGAAAAAGCCAATGGCATCTCTAGATGGGAAAGGTAACTTTTTACTGTCTTCTGAGGAGTTACTACCAGGTGGGTTGGGAGCTGCTTCAGTGGTCAAGTGGTGGTCTGACAGGTCCTTTCTTTCCTTGTAGGGGATTCTTCCTGGACTTTAGCAAGGTTGTACGACCCGGACTATGCAGAGCTACAGCCTGCATCTTCGTTAACTTCAGGCAGTCCAGAGCGCACGGCAGCCCAGCACTTGCTTGTTTCCAATGGCCATCTCCCCAAAGCGTGCGACTCCAGTCCCGAGTCCACGCCACTGACAGGACAGCTCCCCGGGAAACAGAGGGTGCCACTGCTATTGGCACCAAAAAGCTAGGTTTTGTCTACCTCAGCTCTTGTCATGCCAGTCTCTACGGGAAAGAGAGGTAGGAGAGGCTGTGAGGAAGCTTGGGTTCAAGCATCACTCATCTGTACATAGTTGTAACTTCCATGTGGAGTATCAGTCACTCACAGGACTTGCATCTGAAGCACAGAAACGCAAGAGGGGATTTGTGTACAAAAGGCAGAAAAAGTATTTGATACCGTTGTACATAAGAGTTTTCAGAGATTTCATATATATCTTTTACAGAGGCTATTTTAATCTTTAGTGCATGGTTAACAGAAAAAAATTATACAGAAAAAATTATACAATTTTGACAATATTATTTTTCATATCAGGTTGCTGTTTAATTTTGGAGGGGGGTGGGGAAATAGTTCTGGTGCCTTAACGCATGGCTGGAATTTATAGAGGCTACAACCACATTTGTTAGCAGGAGTTTTTGGTGGGGATGGGGAGGAGGGAAGGCCTTGGATTTGTATTGCACTTCGTAGACAGACCCCCAGACTGCTGCCCGGTCAGACTCCACGTGCGCTGGAAGGAGCTTCAGGAGAGCACTGGTCATGTGTGGATGCCCCTGCAACAGGCCTCCCTGTAGAGCCAGGGGTGCAGGGTGCCATCCACGTTTGCAGTGAATGGCTTTTCCTTTTAGGTTTAAGTCCTGTCTTTAAAGGCACAGAATGAGGGATGTTAATCCATCACAAGCAAATGGTCAGAACAGTTAATGAAGCACTGCCTTTCCTCCTCCTCAGATTTTATGATAAAAGCAAATGTGGCCTTCTCAGTATCATTCGATCGCTAGTTGAGACTTTTAATTAAGGTAAAGGCTGCTGGTGTTGGTACCTGTGGATTTTTCTATAGTGCTGTTTTCGTTCTGCCAATATAATGAGTGAGTATTACATTGGCCTTGGGGGATAGAAAGGAGGAAGTTCTTTCTTTTCAGGGCTACCTTATTTCTACTGAGGATCCAGAGCAGGCCTGTCCATGCCATTCCCACGCACAGATGAAACTGAGCTGGGACTGGAAAAGACTTAGACCTTGACCTGGGTTCTGGGTATATTTGCACTTTTGAGACTGGTAGCTAACCATCTTGTGAGTGCCAATGTGTAATTTAGTAAAACTTAACTTTCTTACATAGAAACAAGGTCCTTAAAATGTTCCTTTGGCCAAAAGCTGAAGGGAGTTACGGAGAAAAAGTTAACAATTACTGTCAGGTGTCATCACTGTTCAAAAGGTAAGCACATTTAGAATTTTGTTGACAGTTAACTGACTAATCTTACTTCCACAAAATATGTGAATTTGCTGCTTCTGAGAGGCAATGTGAAAGAGGAAGTATTACTTTTATGTACAAAGTTATTTATTTATAGAAATTTTGGTACAGTGTACATTGAAAACCATGTAAAATATTGAAGTGTCTAACAGATGGCATTGAAGTGTCTTTAATAAAGGTTCATTTATAAATGTCAGTACAGTTGGTGGTCCTTCTTTTACAAACGCAGTCATTCTGCCTTTAATTATCTTTCCCCAAAAAAGGAAAAAAAAAAAAAATAGGCAAAGCAAAATCATATACTGTTTGCTCCGGGGCAGACAACACAGCTAGATTCCTGAGATTTCGTTCTGAATTCTTCTATGCCTGGAGCTTGTTAGTCAAGCTCTAAAATCCCAAAGTGTGGTGACCTTTCCATTTCATCCTGCCTACTTCTAGCAATGTTGTTTTCAAAGCTGGCCCAGGCCCTCCTTTCAGCCTGACACGGAGAATGGCAAGAATGGCTCACCCACCGTGTCCTCCTGCACGAAGCCAGCTGGGCCCACCTAGTCACTTGAGCTGCAGCTGCTCTCTCTCACACACCACAGGGGGCGCTGGACACATCTCTGTAAAATAATACATCGTGTGTTTTTATGGGTGAAATCTGAGGGTAATTAAAACCAGCAGCCTAGTTACCCAGAAAGAATGCTTGCTATGCACCTGTGTAGTTCATTCTTTTTTCAACAAAGCCTAACCTTACACAACAGGAATTAACTAGGGGGAGAAACACCCACATATACAACTTCTTCCCCAAGTCTCCTTCTCCCAAACAAGCTATTCTTTTAAAATTCTAACCATCTCTAACCATCTTGCCTTCTGCTGAATCCACCATCAGGTGGCAGGAAATGAAAGATCAGATACAGATCAAATGAAAGCTCTGAAAGGCCTGGCCTCAGCAATACCAAACTTATTTATTAAGAGGTTCTGAGGAAATTGTTCAGAGTACCGCCACACACCCCGTTTTCATCTCTTAGCTCTCTGGCATACAGGCCAATGACTTCATACCAGCCAGCCTACACCACGGATGGCACAATCTCGATGCTGGCATCTTGGCAGAACTGGTCTTCAGCACTGGGGCCTATAGTTCAGACAGCTGCTCAGCGGAAGAGGGTTTACACTGCAGGCCCCTCTCTTGACAGAAGTGGAGGTGAGGCTGTCTCTGCTTCAAGGACTCTTTCTGCCAACTTCCAACAGCAAGCGGTGCGTGTGGTCATAAGCCCCCAGAAAGATGAAACCTCCCAGACTGATGGCTGCCATTCGAGGGAAGACACCTGCAAATAATCTAGGGGAAAAAACAGGATTTTTAATGTTGTGTGTATTTAAAAGAAAGGTTAAATTCCAATACTCACAGCTTGCTCGGCTCAGTACACCATGCTCATTAGTGGCTAACTACCACTCACTTGTGAACACTCACTCGTAAACAGCTCACTTGTGAACCCTCCCAAATAAGGCAAGTAATGGCGCTGTCCCAATAATCGTTCTAAAACTTTCATGCCATTTTTCCCTTTGAGAGATGAAATTGACTTTTTTAAAAGGCGTTAAAGAGCTGAATCCTAGGTAAGGCTGGAAGGCACTTCCCAGCCCAGACCTCTAAAGTGGTCTCCAGGGGTTCGCTCGGTGCAGAGGTTTTTGGGCAGAGTGCCTACTGACTCCGTTGCATTTTGTCCTTTGAGACCCCAAAACCTGACATCACAACAATGAGTCGAACCTCCATGGATTCCCTGTGTTCCTTTTCTGTCTCAAGGCATGAAAGGCAAATGGGCTGTGGCTGTGAAGGGAGCAGCACGCTTTCACCTGCACAGTCCCTTGGTACCACAGAACGCTGCTCACCAGCCAAGGTGCAATGTAGAATAATCAGAGAAATGCAAGGTAAAACTACAATGCCACGAGGATATAAATTAAGGATTCATTCTTTAAAACTGCCCTCCCCCCCCCCGCCCAGTGCCTACTCAGATATTTGTGCAAACATCTTCACTGTGGCATTGCTGCTGGTGATACCAGTTACGGCACACTACAAACATACAGTGGATGATTATGTAGCTGATAAAGATGAGGAAATACACAGATGCCAACATAAAAAAATTACAAAACAGGTTTATAAAACCAAGTCCAAGGGCTATGATTCCATGTCTAAAAGGCATGCCAGGGATGTGTCCTAAACCCTAAACTGAATGCCTGCTGCCTAAGGATTACAGGACACATTCCTGGCCCATGCTTCCATAACCTTTGAACCTTTTGACCGAGAGTATAGGCATGACTCAGATATTTCAAGTTTGGTCCCAGGAGAAGTTTGGCCACCATAATAAAGTGAATATTGCAATAAAGCAAGCCATTCAAATTTTTGGGTTTCCTAGGGCACCAAAAAGTTATGTTTACACTATACTGTAGTCTATTAAGTATGCAGTAGCATTATGTCTAAAAATTATACATACCTTAATTTTAAAATGCTGTATTGCTAAAAAATGCTCATGAGCATGTGAGCCTGCAGTAAGTTGTAATCTTTTGGCTGCTAGAGGGTCTTGCTTTCATTGATGGCTGCTAACTGACCAGGATAGTGGCTGCTGAAGGTTGGAGTGGCTGTGGAAATTTGTAAAAACTGTAATTGTTGCGTTGATGGACTCTACTTTTCATGAAAGATTTCTCTGTAGCACACAATACATTTTGCCCACAGTAGAACCTCTTTCAAAACTGGAGTCAATCATCTGAAACTCTGCCACTGTTTTCACAACTAAATTGATGAAATATTCTAAATCCTTTATTGTCATTTCAACAGTGTTCACCATATCTTCACCAGGAGTAGATTCACCTCAATAGATCACTTTCTTTCCTCATCTGTAAGAACCAATTCCTCATCCGTTCGAGTTTAATCATGAGATTGTGGCAATTCATCACATCTTCAGGCTCCACTTCTAACTATAGTGGTCTTGCTATTTCCAGTACATCTAGTATGTGTTTCCCTCCACTGAAGTCTTGAACCTCTCAAAGTCAGCCATCAGGTTGGGAATCAACTTTTTCCAAAGTCTTAGCATGGTCAATATTTTGACCTCCTCCTATGAAGCCACCAATGTTCTTACTGGTATCTAGAATGGTGACTCCTTTCTAGAAGGCTTCCAGAAATTCATTTTGCCCACATCCAGCAAAGGAATCACTGTCGATGCAGCTGTAGCCTTATGAAATGGATTTCTTAAATAATAAAACCTGAAAGTTAAAATTACTCCTTGTTCCACGGACCAAGGAATGGATGTTGTTAGCAAGCAAGAGAACAGCATTCATCTCCAGCAGAACTCCAGGGTGACCAGGTGCACTCTCAATGAGAAGTAGTATTTTAAAAGCAATCTTTTCCTCTGAGCACTAGGTCCCAGCAGCGGGCTTAAAATATTCCAGAAACCATGCTGTAAAGAGATGTGCTGTCACTCAGGCTTTGTTGTTCCATTACTATGGCAGAGGCAGAGTCGATTTAGCATCATTGTTAAAGGCTCTAGGATTTTCAGAAGAGTCAATGAGCACTGGCTTCAACTTAAAGATACCAGCTGCATTAGCCCCTAACAAGGGAGTCAGCCAGTCCTTTGAAGCTTTGAGGCCCAGCATTGATGTCTCCTCTCTAGCTCAGAAAGTCCTAGATGACATCTTCTGATAGAAGGCTGTTTCATCTACATTGAAAATCTGTTGTTTAGTGTTAGCGCCTTCACCGATGATCTGAGCTAGATCCTCCTGGAATAGACTTTCTGGCCGAGCTTCTCCATCAAGCAACTATGTCCCTTACCATTACACATTTTGTGTAGCAAGAGATGACTTCTGTCCCTTAAACTTTCATGAAATCAACCCTCTCTAAGGCATTCACTGCAGCTCCTCCTCTGCAGCCCTTCATGGAAAGAAGTTAGGCACCTTGCTGTGGTTCTAGGTTTTGCTTAGAGGATGGTGGCTGGTACTGATCTCCATCCAGACCAGCATCCAACTTTCTTCTATCCTGCAGTGAGGCTGTTACACTTATCATTTAGTGTATCTCGCCGGATAAGCACTTCTATTTGGCCTTCAAAAGAGCTTTTTCCCTTTGCATTTAACAACTTC